AAGGAACAAAGTGCATAAGCGTGAGACTGTAAATATTTTCTTCTCGGATTTTTGTTTATGAAAGTAAAATTCTTTTGAATATAAAGAGTCTGGACATTGCGTATCACCAAATTTTGTTTCCAGTACCTGTGGGTTGCAATTAGGGGTGTCAGAGAATCCCAACCGAAATGGGAGTGCAAATTTCAGGTGTTTGCTTATCCATCCTGTGTCTGGAATGGAAATCTATCCTGTGAACAAGACTGGTGTTCTTTATTGTTCCTTTTAGAACACAGTTGAATAACTAAAGGGATACTAGATGTCCTGACCTAGCTCTTACTGAATTGCCACTGAGTTAGGATCTGTGAGTGGCAGAGCACATGTCTTGCAAGCAGAAGGTCTCCAGCATCTCCCAACATCTCCAGGTAGGGCTGGGAATGGCCTTCACCTGAAACCCTGGACAGCTGCTGCCAGTCAGTGTAGACCAGGCTTCCTCAAACTCAGCCCTCCAGATGTTTTGAGACTTCCAATTCCCATCATCCCTGACCACTGGTCCTGCTAGCTAGGGATCATGGGAGTTGTAGGCCAAAAACATCTGGAGGGCCGAGGTTGAGGAAGCCTGATGTAGACAATACAGAGCTAAATGGAACCAATGGGTCTGGCTCACTGTAAGGTGGCTTCTCTTGTTCTTCAGCTGGAAATCTGCCCATCCCGAGTAGACCATTATGGGATTCATGGGCAAACAGTCAGACCTGCATTGCAGGGGGTTGGACTAGATGACCCAGGGGAGTCCCTTCCAACTCTGAGTCTATGAAGGCAGTTTGGCTTTCTTTGTTCCTACGTTGTAGGTTTGGAATCCCACATCTGCCCATTCCTCTGGCTAAAATTGTTTATCTGCTGCATAGATTCTCAGATGTTCAAGATTCTTTGAGCCACAAGTATTCTGGAAATGAAGGATGGAGGCAAGCAAACATTTGCCACGTGGCAGGGGGCTGATCATCTGAACTGCCTTGTCAAATTGGAAGAAGGATTATAACACTCAGGTCCTTCTACAGATTTCAGATTTTCCTTACCAGTTGATAAGACAATTAGATTACCCAGGTACCAAGCAGGTGTGTGCATGCATGAATGTTGCGGTTAAGTTACTGCTCTAGTGAACGATCCTTGGTCAAGATGCAAATTTTGAGGGAGAGGTTTGCCAAACTTTGGTGCAATTCCTCTGCAAAGGTGTGGAACAATAAAGGATCCTGCTGGTTTCCATATCACCCATTTACTCATGCAAAAATAAATAAATTGGGCATCCTATTTTGCATGCAAAACTGAACTCTTTCCCCAGGATGTCCATATTGAAGAGTTTGCAAAGCATCTTTCTTTCTTTCTTTCTTTCTTTCTTTCTTTCTTTCTTTCTTTCTTTTCACACCCCCTCCCCACGGGCCACAGGTTTTCATATATTTGGGATGGGCAAAAATGGCAATTTCGGTTTCTTTTAATTTCTGCTTTTTCTAGTTTGACATTCAGTTCACATTTGTGTGTCAGTCTGCAGATTCTTTTGAAAGGCCTCAAGGAAATTCTTCGGAATTTCTCCTAACATGTGCATCTTTATATGCAGTTTCATCTAATGTGCCCCATTTCTGCAGAGCCATTTACCCTAATATGATGCATTTTGCGTCTTATTTTCACAATGTGAAGGCTTCCGAATTACAGCTCTTAGCACCATCTATTACCATGGGAACCAGTGAAATGGGCCACTTCTGCATTTTCCGCTCGGTATTGTTGCTGCTGTTGCCAAGATCGTCTGTGCAAATGGAATATTTGCCCTGTACGTCTCGGTGGGAGAGGAGAGGCTGTGATGGGTTTGCTTTGGCCAATAATGCAAGACTCTAGAACGGTGGTAGCCAGAATAGTACCCTCTAGACCAGGGTTCCCCCAAATTTGGGTCTCCAGCTCTTTTTGGACTACAACTCCCATCATCCCTTACCACTGTTCCTGCTAGCTAGGGAGTCGCTTAAAAACACAGAAGAAACAATAATTTAAAACCGTTAAAACAGTCAACTAGGGCCAGGGCCTTTTCAGTCCTGGCCCCGACTTGGTGGAGCGCTCTGTCACAAGAGACTAGGGCCGCCCTGCGGGACTTGACATCTTTCCGCAGGGCCTGCAAGACAGAGCTGTTCCGCCTGGCCTTTGGTTTGGACTCAGTCTGACCTTATGTTTCCCTCCCCTTATGGTCTTGATTTATGGGCTACTTTTAAAATGAGGCTGCATTTTAGATTGCATTTTAACCTGTATTTTAAATGGGTTGTCTTTTCCTATTAAGTTTTTACTGTAATTTTACTGGTGTTAGCCGACCTGAGCCCGGCTCTGGCTGGGGAGGGCGGGGTATAAATAAAATTTATTATTATTATTATTATTATTATTATTATTATTATTATTAAACATCGATAGAATTAAAACTATATGCATATATGAAATGCAGCCAGACAAGACCAGCCTGGTTTTGGTTTTGGCATAGATTCATATTTACCAGGTTTGCAAACCTTTCACCAAGGTATGTAGGGACAGGTGGAACAAATATTGAAATAGGTACCAATGAATGGAAATGCATACACACCCACATGTACAAAGCCAATGCAGTTAGCAGTAAAATCACAGAAGAAAGAAAATTGGATGCACGTCCCCAATATTGCCTGTACTTGCAAAACTGGGGGTCCATCCAAGTTAGCAAGGAGGCGAATGCGGCAGAAAGGTAGGGCAGTGGGCGATGAGTCTGGGGTGGCGGAATTGATGATCTCGCATTGTGTGAGGCAGTGCTCTAATTTATTTTGACATGCCGAGTTCTGCTTTCATTATTTATGACAGTGCTAAAGAAGACAGTTTGCAGAAGCCTTTAGCATATTATGGAAAGGGGGAGGATGGCTTCGTACGGTTTGCGTTTCTGTGTCATCTTACCTGACTTGCACTGTGCAAACCAAAGCCCAGCTATCCTTTGACAGTCCTCAGATTCCCAAGAAGCTGTTCTCCAATCCAACCCCCCCCTCAAAAAAGTGTCCCAAAATCCATAAATTAGAAAAAGTGGGCATGTAAAATGTTGAGTATGTTTCTGAGCACAATTCCAAGTTTTGGTGCTGACCTTTAAAGCCCTAAACGGCCTCGGCCCAGTATACCTGAAGGAGAGTCTCCACCCTCATTGTTCAGCCCAGACACTGATGTCCAGCTCTGAGGGTCTTCTGGTGGGTCCCTCCCTGTGAGAAATGAGGTTACAGGGAACCAGGCAGAGGGGCCTTCTCAGTAGTGGCGCCCACCCTGTGGAATATCCTCCCATCAGATGTCGAGGAAATAAACAACTATCTGACTTTTCGAAGACATCTGAAGGCAGCCCTGTTTAGGGAAGCTTTTAATGTTTGATGTTTTATTGCTTTTTATTATTCTTAATATTCTGTTGTGTACTGGCTGCTGTTTTGCTCTGGTATTCCTGGCTGGTGTCCTTGTTTTTTTGTCCAAGGGAGCCCTCAGATTTCTCCGTTAACAGAGTGGCTGGTGAAACCCAGCCAGATGTGCAGGGCATTAATAATAATAATAATAATAATAAGCTGGCAGGATGCTGATGAGTGAACACAAGGGGATCTGAAGTCTGACTTGGGAGATGAGAGACATGATTTTCGGGGAACTGTACCAGCCATGAGGCAAGTGTCAAAGGCAGGGAAGCTTCAGAGCTGAAGGGTAGAGCACAAGATGAGTTTGAAGAAGAGGAGGAAGAGGCAGGCCAGGCAATTAAAGAGCCAAGTGCCTCCTGCTCCACTGTCTCCCAGAACCAGGAGGGAATTAAAAGAGGGTAAGCAGAGAGGGCAGACCCTCTAAGTGTCCCTATTTTCCAGGGACAGTCCTGGATTTACAGAAACCGTCCCAGTTTTTTATTTAATCCCAGAATGGTCCTGCTTTTCTCCCTTGGAATATGACTGTCCTGTGCCTGGGGGTAACCCGTGAAACACAGTCCAGGATCGGTCCAGAATCCGAATGTTCTGCTAGGAGTCAGTCTGACAGGGTCACAGCAGGAAACCAGGCAAGGACAGGTATAGGATCTGAGGCAGGATCTAGCATACAGCAATGTTGCTCCCACAACCTGTGACAGGGTCTGACAGCCTTTTATTTTTGTCAGGATAACGGCTGGTCCTGATCCCCCGGTGACTCACCTCCCTGTTTCGCCTGAAGGCGAGCACTCCTCCTGCGAGTACTCAGGTCTCGCTTTCTCTCAGACCTTAGTCTCTGCGGCTCGGGAGACGTCGGTGGGTTACTAGACCCAGGGGCCGCCTCAGCCTCCCCTGACCCAACCGGTAGTGGAGCAGCTGTAAGTGATGGCCCAGCTGAAGACAACGAGGTCATCCCCGCATTTGGAGCCAGGGCAGGCTTAGGCCCCTGACTCGACCCAGCTGGTGTTTGTTGCAGGGGAACCTGTGCAGACTGGGACTCTTCAGGATCAGGCCCCAGACTTGGTTCAGGTGATGCCTGAGGCAAAGGATCCGGTGCGGACTGAGACTCCTCTGGTTCCGAGTCCGAGTCCCAGGCCATCAGAGTGGTGGGCTCTCCTTCCTTGGAGGTTTTGAAGCAGAGGTTGGGTGGCCATTTGTCATGGATGCTTGAGCTGAGATTCCGGCATTGTGGGGGCTTGGACGAGAAGACCCTCAGGGTCCCTTCCAACTCCATTCTTTAAAAAGAGCAGCGCTCCATGAGCAGGGGGACTGCAAAGAACTGCATCTACCATGTGCCACTGCTATGCACAGACAGGATATTCTGTTCCATGCAGCAGTAGAGCACGCATGATTGTCCTCACATACATAATTTTTTAGAGGAAGCTCGATGCTTCTTGATGAGAATCAGAGAAAACCCTTCGCACAGTTCATAGTTAAACTGTGAAATTTGTTCCCTCAAAAGATTGGGATTGCCACCAACTTGGTTAATTTTAAAGAAGATTCAGGGAGGTAGCCGTGTTGGTCTGACGCAATCAAAATAAATAAATAAAAATAAAAAATTGTCCAGTAGCACCTTGGAGACCAACTAAGTTTGTTCTGGCTATAAGCTTTCGTGCGCAGTATCTGAAGAAGTGTGCATGCACACAATAGCTTATACCCAGAACAAACTTAGTTGGTCTCTAAGGTGCTACTGGACAATTGTTAAATTCTTAAAATTTGTTTTAAAGAAGAATTAGACAATTTCACAGAGGGTAAGGTTATCAATGGCAGCTGAGGAATAGATCAGTTGGGAAAGCATAAGACTGTGAAAGCATAAGCTAAAGTGGTACCTCAGGTTAAGAACAGTTTCAGGTTAAGAATGGACCTCCGGAATGAATTAAGTTCTTAACCCAAGGTACCACTGTATTAAAGAACATGGGAACAACCCTCTGGATCAGGCCACATCCCAGCTACTCCAGTGGCATAAGCATAAGACTGGGAAAGCATAGGGTTGTGGGTTCGAGACCCGCATTGGATGGAAGATTCCTGTATTGCCACTCTGTAATTGTTGGTAAGATTTCGTTCTTCCAAGTGGCAAATTCTTATGACAGAATACCTGCATCTAGCAAAATTGACTGGGAAAATTATAGGAGTGTCAAACCAGAAGGTATATCGGGGATGGAAAATATTTAAAGAATACTTTAAAATGTACTGTACGAACAGTAAGATACTGATACTTAAAGTGATACAGGTAACAAAGAATTACATAAAATATAATAGTGGAATATATATATATATATATATATATATATATATATACACACACACACAACAAAATAATATGAATCTGTGCAAGGAATACAAATAATATAAGTAGTATAATGAGAATTATTCGAAGTTATATATTTTAATCTGTCATGTAAGTGTAATATATTGTATTTGTTTATCTTTTCTTATCGTTTCTATTCATTTGTATCGTTTTCTGTTTTGTATGTTATGTAACTCGTGTATATTTGTGTATGTGAAAATTAATAGATTTTATTTTTAAAAAGAAAGGAAAAAAGAGAGATTCCTGTATTGCTGGGGGTTGGACTAGATGATCGTCGTGGTCACATCAAACTCTACAATTCTATGTTCTAAGCATGACGACTATGTTTTACCGCCACTGTCAGAGGCATCAATACTTCTGCCTACTTGTAGCTGGAAGGAAGCTACAGGAGGTGAGGAGAGTGTTGTGCTCAAGACCTGCTTGCAAATTTCTCATAGGCTGGCCACTGGAGTAGCTGGGATGTGGCCTGATCCAGAGGGTTGTTCCTATGTTCTTTAATACAGTGGTACCTCAGGTTAAGAACTTAATTCGTTCTGGAGGTCCATTCTTAACCTGAAACTGTTCTTAACCTGAGGTACCACTTTAGCTAATGGGGCCTCCTGCTGCCACCATGGCCATGCAATTTGTGTTCTCTTCCTGCGGTAAAGTTCTTAACCTGAGGTACTATTTCTGGGTTAGCGGAGTCTGTAACCTGAAGCGTCTGTAACCCAAGGTACCACTGTAATAATAAAAGTTTCTCATCTGAATATTTTCAGCTCATAATCTTGTCAGTCATTATTGGGAAGAGAACTGCTTGGCCGAGAGACAGCACAGAAGTTGAGGAAAACAAAATTCCCCCCCCTGGTGCTTAATCTCCCCATGAATATATATTTAAGAAACATCAAGCCATATCCAGCTCCTTCCTTCACCTTCATGGAAAGGGCACAAAGGGGGGCCTTTTGATCAGATTTATCATCTCCCCAAGTGCTTGTCATTTCACATTATGCTGGCAAACGACCAAAACTCAAAACATCTCCCCTCTAGGAAGGAATTCATGGCCCCCTAGTGTGGACAGGGATTAAGCCCTCGGAAGAGCAGAACTAAACAAATTACTTAAGGGTGTCAGATGAAATCTCTGGAACAGGCTCCAAAGCTCGGAGGAGACGAACGCAGGCAAATGGAAGATGCCGCCGTCAACAGACCACGTCTCCGAGGTGTCCAAATGCGCTACATCAATCTGTTGACAGGCTTGCTTTGACAATACGCCACCAGCGTTTGGCTACACAACGCAGACGGCAGGAACCTGCAGCCCAAGGTCTGGCTCCGATGAATATGTGGATTTTGGCATCTTCCCTTCCTCCACCACTTTCACCACCCTTCCACCCTTCTCGGCTCGCCAAGGCATAATGCGGCACTGAAAACAGAAGAGGCAATTGGTGAAACCCAACGCCTGCTCACCTCTTACTCGGCTCGGTTCTGCTCTGTAGCAGGGGCGCCAACTTGAATAAAATATTGGGAGGGGGTCAGGTAAACCCTGCCCCACAGAGAATCATAGGGTTGTGGAGTTGGAAAGGGTCCCAAGGGTCATCTAGTCCAACCCCTGCAATGCAGGAATCTCAGCTCAAGCCTTGACAAATGGTCATCCAACTTGAGAGCCAGTGTGGTGTAGTGGTTAAGAGCGGTGGACTCGTAATCTGGTGAACTGGGTTCGCTTCCCCGCTCCTCCACATGCAGCTGCTGGGTGACCTTGGGCCAGTCACACTTCTTTGAAGTCTCTCAGCCTCACTCACCTCACAGAATGTTTGTTGTGGGGGAGGAAGGGAAGGAGAATGTTAGCCGCTTTGAGACTCCTTTGGGTAGTGATAAAGCAGGATATCAAATCCAAACTCTTCTTCTCTGCTTAAAAACCTCCAAGGAAGGAGAGTCCACAACCTCCCAAGGGAGACTGTTCCACTGTTCAACAGCTCTTACTTTCAGAAAGTTCTTCCTGGTGTTTAGTTGGAATCTCCTTTCTTGTACAGTGGTACCTCGGGTTACAGACTCTTCAGGCAACAGACGCTTCAGGTTACAGACTCCGCTAACCCAGAAATAGTACCTTGCTTCAGGATGAGAACAGAAATTGTGCGGCCATGGTGGCAGCGGGAGGCCCCCTTAGCTAAAGTGGTACCTCAGGTTAAGAACGGACCTCCAGAACAAATTAAGTTCTTAACCCGAGGTACCACTGTAACTTGAAGTCGTTGGTTTGAGTTCTCTCTGGAGGAGGAGAAAACAAGCTTGTTCCCTCTTCCACGTGACATGGTCGTCAACATGGGGAGGTAGCTCATCCAGGAGAAGGAAGACTCTGATTCTAAGCTTCCGCTGCCTTGTGGGAGTAAACCTTATGCCAATCAAGAGTAGAGTCCCTAAGACGATTGGATGGTGCCTTGTACCCCTTCCGGCAACTTCAGCAACCAAGCTGGTGCGAAATATTTTGCTCTGCTTTCCCTTGGACCACATCAGTGAGGCTGAGATGGGGGGTCTTGTCATCTGGGCAGCCCAGGACCTCCAGACACACTGCCCAGGCTTGTGCCTCAGGGAGACCACTTTGGTGCTGCTAGCACAGTGGTTTGACTTCACCCCTGGAGGCACACTCCATTGTTTCTTGAGATGGATGGATGTCAACAACAAGGACTTTTTAGTGTATGGTGTGGTTGTGGTTTCAATTGCTGTCTCAAGAAGAAGAATTTGGATTTGATATCTGGCTTTATCACTACCTGAAGGAGTCTCAAAGTGGCTAACATTCTCCTTTCCCTTCCTCCCCCACAACAAACATTCTGTGAGGTGAGTGAGGCTGAGAGACTTCAGCAAAGAGTGACTAGCCCAAGGTCACCCAGCAGCTGCATGTGGAGGAGCAGGGAAGCGAACCCGGTTCACCAGATTACGAGTCTACCGCTCGTAACCACTACACCACACCTTCAGCACCCCTGCTCTGAAATGTTAAGTGCACTTCTTTGCATCCCAAGCACAAACCAGCCAAGAAGAAGCCCCAACCATGGTTATCAGTGACAATCTTCTGCTGTTTCTTCCACGATCCCAGGGAGCACGCCAAAGGGATCTTTGAATGGTGCTCTTCAAGGAACACATCTTTAAAATGCAGCCCCATATTTCAGACAGAAACTCTGCATTCCCCCCACCTCCAATGCCAGAGATGATAAAAATAGACTTATTAATACTTTTTTTTAAAAAAAAAACACACCTCTCTAATTATCATAAAAACTATTGAGTTTCATTTCTTTTATGGAAATAGCTTTATGATAATAGAGAGCATCTGCTTTGCTTCTGCTGTGGCTCTGAAAAAAAATATTCAGAGAATTCAGATCAGGCTTTTCCTGACTTCACTCATTGCTTAAAAGTTAGAAGAGAAGCTTCCTTTGTTCCTTGCCTGCCACCGTCTCCCGCAACCCCTATTCCTCCTCCTCCTCCATCTCTCTCCCCCAGCCCAACAGTGTATTTTAAACGCCTTCCCAATTGCCTAGCAATTTACAGTTTCGTAGAGGAGAAATGGCTTGAGGGAGCCATCCAACTTTTACGCCTGGAACATCAAAATGAAATGCCAAATGGAAAGATGAATTGGCCATGACTTTGTGGGGAAGGACGCTTGCCCGAGGTGCGACACGCCGATTTTGAGGCTCGGGGTAGCGAGGCTGGACTTCGGGGAGGGGGGGGAGACCCAGAATTTATCAGAAGTGCATGAGAATATAAAAGATGAAAGGAGTTGGGGAGAGTGGTGGTCATCATGCCATTTAATGAGTTGCCGGCTAAAGTGGGCTGTTTCAAGGAATAACGCACATAACTGCTTCAATGCTTTCGCCCTCCCCTCCCAAACTCTGGGGGTGTGCAAGCAGAACGGCCGTTTATTCATCAAAGCAGGGGCGAACGAAGGCGCCGTAACACCCAGGGCGGGGCCATAGCTGTCAACTTTTCCCTTTTCTTGCGAGGAATCCTATTCGGAATAAGGGAATTTCCCTTAAAAAAATGGAAACGTTCACAGCTATGGGCGGGGCGTCGCTACGTAGCGTGCATGTGCGGCGGCGCTACGTACGATGCATGCGCCGTACGTAGCGACGCCACACATGTGCTGAACATAGCGGTTTGCCGCCGGCACCGCTCCAGCACCATATGGACGGTGCCAGGATCCTCTGCTCGCAACTGCAGCCACGAACGGAGGATCCTCCACATCCAGCGGCACGATGGCTGCTTGCGCCGCCGTGGCGGGGCACTGCCTTGTCACCCCCAGAGGCGTGACACCAGGAGTGCTCCCCCCCTCCCCCCCATTGTGACACCACTGCATCAAAGAAAAAGAAAGTTATTGATTCAGTCTTTATTAATTTATCAATTGCTTTCTAAAGCATCCATCGCAAGGCAAATGAG